CTTCTTAACCATTCTTAAATATCACAACTGGATAATCTCTTATCCTTTTCAAACCAAGAAAAAAGAAAAAAAAAAAAAAAAAAAAACAGGCTATAAAACTATCTACTGAATATGATTGTAACAACACACAATATCTATCGACAATTTATTGCTTCTCTAAGCTATTCAAATCCTAAATTATAAAAATTGATTCTATTAAGGAGCTTGTGCAGAATTCTTATTAATTATTTTCAATACTTCGCATCCAATTTTCCGGATGTCATAACAGCATGCCTGGTTTTTTACCCTTCCGGTAACAACTGCAACAGCTGAAAGAAGTTTTTCCAAGATAAAAATTATCTTAGAACTTCAATAGGACAAGATGGAATACATCGAACTTAGCAATACTGTCAATAGAACAGAAGAGAACTTGGATAAACGGAAATAGTTTTGTACTACGGATGTTATTATTAATGCGCGTTTGCCGCAAAATTAATTCAAACCAAACTTAATAAAAGAATGATAGGATTTTAATAAGTAAATATAATTTTTGTCATTACTTTAAACTATCATTATTTAAGGTATCCGACTACGTTCGGAACCGTGATTTTAAAAAAGCGCATAAATGGATCATTTTCATGATATTTAGTGTCGCTTAGATTAAAATACATGTACAAAATGGTTTTAAGAACATTTGGACAAAAAAGAAAATTATTTAAATATAATATTTTGGCAAAAAAATTAACTTAGAATAACCTTTTTTCAAAATGTTCTCCTTTTATAAAAAATACTTCTAAAATAATAATATTTTGTGTGTGTGTGTGTGTGTGTGTGCTTATATAAAGTAAAGACTTCTCTAGAGAGTCTGAACTAGGATTTTTGAAAACTTCATATTATTTTTAGAGTTACAACCAATTGAAATATAATCATCGGCATTTTTTTCTTAAAATTTCTCCCCCCTCTGTTGTGGATAAACCCACTTAAAAGTTATATATTTGAAAATTTCTAGTTGAGCATCTGCACAGAGATCTGAGCTATAGACAGGCAAAATTTTATTATAATAGTAGCGTTTTTCGCAAAAGGAGAATGTTTTGAAAATGGGTCATTCTATGTTCATTTTTTGTCAAAATATTGTACTTAAATAATTTTTTACTGTAATAATATTCTTAAGACAATTTTACATACATTTTCTCTATAACCTAAGTGACACTAAATATCATAAAAATT